TGCGTTCATTGCAAGGAAGAATTTTGTGGCTCATTTTCAGACTCTAAAAGGGTTAAAAAATATTTTTCAACTTCTTATTTCGACAAATAATGATAAACTTTTATCATTATTACAGGGTGTTTTACGATTCATTTTCCAAATCTAAAATTTGAGAAATTAGTCAGAAGAGGACAAAGATTTTTTTTCAAGTTAGATCTTTTAAAAGTAGTATTTTCGTAGTATTTTGAAGCGTTGAAAATCCACAATTTGGATGAAAACTTGCCCAAATATGAGTCAAAAATTGATTTTTTCCTAAATTTTGTCCAAATATATGATTTTTCATAGTATTATGAGACGCTGAACACGATTCCATTAGTAAAATTTACCCATGACTTCGATATTTCTCAGAAAATCCATTATTGGGGTGAAGACTGTCCTAAATTTGGGTCAAAATTGGTTTTTTCCTAAATTTTGTCCAAATATATGATTTTTCATAGTATTTTGAGGGATTGAACCCGATGCCATTAGTAAAATTTACCCATGACTTCGATATTTCTCAGAAAATCTATTATTGGGGTGAAAACTGTCCTAAATTTGAGTCAAAATTGATTTTTTCCTAAATTTTGTCCAAATATATGATTTTTCATAGTATTTTGAGGAACTAAACCCGATGCCATTAGTAAAATTTACCCATGACCTCCATATTTCTCAGAAAATTCACTAATTGTGTGCAGACGGGTCCAAATATAGGTAAAAAAAATTGATTTTTTCCTAAATTTGGTGCAAATATATCATTCTCGTAGAATTTTGAGACGCTGAACGCGATGTCATTAGTAAAATTTGCCCATGACCTCTATATTTCTCAGAAAATCCACTATTTGTGTGAAAACAGCTCAAAATACTACGAAAATTGGACAAAATTTATGAAAATTTAACCCATATTTGGGCGTTTTCACTCTTCTCCGCAATTCGTCGGCCTACAGGATCGTGTTCAGCGCATCCAATTCCTTCGGAAATGATATGTGCGTCTCTTGGGATTGGAGTCTTTCTTTGTGTGTCTGTGTAATCAACCAGTTCAGTTTCTATTAAGCCCACACATTCCATATTCGCACAAAATGCATAGAGTACAGTTTTAAACTTATGTATATCCGCAGAAATACTATTTAAGAAAAAAATTTACATCTCTTCTTGCACCAGAATCTTCAGTTGAAGCTGTCTGCTTTTCATAGAGTACGATTTTTGGTTATAAAACTATTTTGGTAGAAATAACCCTCGACTAATCCGTTTGGCCCAAAAGTTTGATTGGAAAAGTACCAAAAGAACTGAAATTATACCACAAACAAGTAACTTGAGACAGCAGCTAATAGCCGTCGTCGGGTCGAGCCAGTCGAACGGTGTGACGTCATATATGCTCTACGAACGTCATAGACCGTTTCAAACTGTGGAAAATGTAAAATATTACTTATCGAGCGCATTTTTGAAAATTAATGTGCACGATATTGGAAAATATCAGAATGATACAACGGGTTTTAGGAACGCGCTTTTTCTACCGTTTGTTCCCTTTTTGCACAGAGGTATTTCCATCGAATGTCCTCTCACCCAAGCACCCGGCCCACCCCCAGACTGCAATTTCAAACTGGGAAAAGTTTCCGCCGACCTGTGTTTTTCCGTGGCGGGGGGGCCACGAAGACGGCCATGTGCCTCGTATCGATTTCGCCCTCGTACAATGGGGTAGTTGACCAACTGAAATAGACCGGAGAGAAATCAATGGGAAGCCGTCTATACCGCTCTGGGAGTCAGTAGAATGGGGCGTGTCGGTCGGGGAACAACTCACGCCTCTGACTCCTCGCGTAAATATCTCGTCACGATACTCGGTTCTTCGTAAGGAAACACAAAGCAACCTAATATGATACCGACGGGTGCAACAGTGTTTAACATAGAAGACCACAAGACCTAATACCCACCCCCGATGCCTGACAGGTGAGTCTTAGCTGTTGCTTTCGTGGGCAGGTGCGTTACAGAAAATGTAAATTACACACGGGCAGTGTAATTTCCCCTGTGCCTCTGTGATTATGAAAAATAAATTACCTTGCATGATTAATACAACCTTACGGTTTTAGTTTACAAATTACACCTTAGTTTTGTCGGATTGGTACAAGGGTGCTGTTCGGGAAAACGGAGCTTACATGTCTTGCAAAGTGGTGCTTTATTTTGGAAAAATGAAGACAATTTTGCAAGTTTTGTAGTAATGACAGATTAGTCGCCTTTTAATCAGCGTGGGCTTGTTTTTGTTTTAGATCATTGATCTCTTGTTTTATTTATATTTTGGTTCTCCAACAAACAACAAACATTGGACTTTTGCCTGTAATTTGTTTCTCGTTGGTTGAATCACAAGTCGGTACAGCAAAACGTTCGCCGTAAATGTTTGACGTTTTAAATAATAGATAGGTTATTCCACGTATCGCTTCTAACTGGTATGATTCGCTTTTGCTTAGAAAGTTCACTGTGTTTTATTATCGTTTAATTATCTCTCCTGCCACTACTATGCCTAATTAAATCCATAAGTTAATTGAAAGTTGTTCATACTTAGTATTGCACGTAAAATATTTATAAGTAGCATTATTAGCACTTTTCTTTCAAAAATGTGTTTAAAGTAAAATGTTTTCACTTAAAATAGTAACAAATATTTGCAATATGTTGATAAAAATTGTATGTTTCTTAATAGTCAAATTAGGAACCAAAAAGATATGTTCTTTTCATCTAATTTCCTTTAAAGAAATGCGTATTAACATACGTGCAATTAAAATTTCATGATTATTATTTTGAATTTTATTAAGAACTAGTTTCTTTTGAACATGAATTTGTCGGCTATTTGATAAAAAAAATTAAACATTTTTGACAATTTCACACATTTATTTTCTGTTGTTTTAGGTATTTTGCCACGTGAAAAAAAGTTAAATAAGTCCTTGCAAAAAATTATTTCATGGACTATATTTGCCTAGACAAAAGTTTCGAAAAACAATCTCTTTTCGTTTTGAAAACGAGGTTTCATTTCCTTTTTTTTTTCCAAAAAAAAAACGACATTCCTAATTTTGATAACGAAAATACTGTTTTTGAAAAGTTAACTAAACTGAAACATCATTTAGTGATGTGTAATTTTTTAATTTTTCTGCTTCTTTCAGCGTGAGAGTTATTATTAGAAAAACATGGTTTCGTAAAATCTCCACTAATTTTTTTTAGCCCAAAGATTTACTTATTTATTTTCACAGGTAGTAAAATATCCAAATAAATAGAGAAAAACTAAAACCATGTCACAAATAAATGAATTTAGACAATATTCTGTTACATACCATAAAAATATCTATATCATTATTTTAATTGATGGTAAATCATAAAAAACAGGAATATCGATTATATTAAAATTTTGTGTGAAATTTATTGAATTTTGAATAAAAATATTTTACAGGGTGTATTTAAATGGAGGGGCACAAGTGATACCAGAGATTCCTTGGGTGAAAATAAGTCGATTTAACCTAATATACCTATATATTATAAAAAAGATACAGGGTGTCAAAGTGAAAAATAAAAAATGGTTTTTCCTTAATAATTTCTATAACTTTAGTCAGAAATGTTTCAAATTTTCAACAGAGAGGTTTTTTAATGATGGGGAAAATAATATAATAATGATTTTTGAGTGTCGAGTACGAGGCGCCCTCTGCAGGCAACGTTATGCATTGAATATGTAGTAACTTNTGTCAGTAAATGCATATGTCAAAACAACTATTTAGGTACAAAAACAACTAATGATCGAAACCCTACAACGCCTGTGAGCTTGGGAAAAATGAATTGAAAATAGCATCTTCTTAGATAACAGATTCCGCCAACGCCAAACCAACGGAGCTTTCGAGCTGAAATTTTTACCACTTATTAAGAGTGTAAACAGCCTCAAAAATCCTAAATTACTAGTGTCTACGATGAAAATTGCATTAATTATTAGCAATTGAAAAACGGTAATTTTCGACCATTTTTGAGCTCTTGTGCATAAACAAATTATCGGAATTTAATCGGACTTTTCTCATTTTATAGGCTTATTTACTACCTACCTTTTTTGTATAAACTTTTTTTCGCTATGAATAATAGTTTTTTTTAGGTGAGTCAAAAAACCACTTTTCTATAACTTTGACCACTGTTAAAACAAAGTTTCCCAACTAGCCTCGAGTTGATTTTTTGATATTTTATTTATAGCAGGTTTCCGAACAATATTCCGCAGAGAAACTTCTAATAGTATTTTTTTCCCGAAACAGGCTCTTTCATGTCTATAATGACTGAGCTAATAATCCACCTTTCTTCTCCAGTAGGTCATAATGGAAATATCTGTGATGCAATCGAGGACTTACTCATCGAACATCGTTCCTTTCAAGACGAATTTCTCCGGTCCCAAGCTGAAGCTGCGCCCGCGAGTCAACATGACCGCGATGGACATCAACGGCACCATCTCCAAGTACGCCGCCACCAAGCCCAACCACACCTACCTGGCCGAGGGCAACCTGACGGGCCACTGGAACCACAACGACTACTTCTACAACCTGACGAACAGCACCGAGTTCGATTACGACTACCAGATGTTCAACGGCACCGGTGACGAGGAATCCTGGACCATGTGCAAGGAATGGACGCCGGCCCAACACAACCTGTTCCAGACGGCGAACTTCTTCTTCGCGGCGGCGTTCTTGGTGCCGGGCAGCTTCAAGCAGAGTGTGCTGCTGGTCAGGTAAGACTCATTTTGTATAAGTCGACGATTGAAACTTTCTGAGGTCCGTAACGCTTTGGGGTAATATCTTGTTGAAGAAGTGGTATAAAGACAGCATGACTGGTTTCTAAGTAATAAACACAATACTTGTGTTTAACGTTTTATCTTCGCATATTTCAACAGCATTCACGCAAAATCCTTCTTCTATAATTTTAAATTTTCTTGAAATGCCCGTCTTGGTGTCAGGTATTGAAACAAGTAGGTACAGGAGTTTTTCTGGGAAACGGCTGAGAAAAATAAATTATTTTAGAAACTATTGCATTTCTGATTACTTTTACTTGAAGGTAGGGTCAAAATACAGAAATTATCTTTACGACGCTAGGCGTCGCAGCGCACAGTGGGAAATATTGGACAAAATTCTCGCCACTCGCCAATTCTCATCGTCTCGTCGTGATTTTTTTTTTTTAATAATCTCGAGGTAATCTGAATTTTCATATTCCGATGAGGTTTGTAGAAAAAAATGTTTAAAAATTTATTATTTATTATTATGACCCTTGATGATATATCTGATGTTTTTTCTTCAAACACCTAACCTCAAAATTATTAATTCTAACCTAAAAGCCTTAAACGAAATTTACATTGGAAAAAAGTACGAAATAGATTCAATAGAACCCTACGTAACATGTTATACCCAAACCATGAATTTGAATCTAAAAAACCTAACCTCAAAACCAATATTAACTAAGTTTAAACTCATTAAATTAATAAATAAATAAATGAAAAATATCTTTATTGTACAGATATTCGATCAACAATTTTTCGGAGAGCACACACCTTGTGCCATACTGTACCCAAATCTGACACCTTAACCCAAGAACCTAACCTCAAAACTGGAAAGATTGTCAAATCAAATCATTAGTGAAAAAAATGGTCACAAAATTATTTTCTTTAATAAAAAGAATAAATATATTTTTGTTGAGTGTTCATCATCGCGATCGCCAAAACCTTTATTCAAAACTGAAAACATAACCTAAAGACCCTGAAATTTTGTTTAACTCGAATTTTTTGCTAGAAAAATTCCATAAAAACATCTACATAGCAATAAAACGTTTGTAAAACATTATTGCGGCTTATTATTACTAACCATTTATTAAATTTGCAATGAAGCCTGATAGACTAACCTAACCTCAAATTCAGGAGTTAGGAGAATCAAATATTATCTAAAAAAAATAAAAAAATTCAATAGATTTGATATGCAGCCATTCTAAATACACACATTCCTGAACCTTAACACCCTTAAGCCAAATACACCCAAATAATTTTGAGGTTAGGTTTTTGAAGAAAAAACATCCGATATATCATCAAGGGTCATAATCATCAATTTTATTAATAGTAGATACTTTTTAAACATTTTTTTCTACAACTGAACATCGAGTATTTAAAAAATTTTTCTTCGACATTGAGGTTGGGTCGCTCCCTAAACATTAAAAAAAAAGGATTTTTCGAAAAAACATCACTGGAATATGAAAATTCAGATTACCACGAGATTATTTAAAAAAATCACGACGAGACGATGAAAATTGGCGAGTGGCGAGAATTTTGTCCAATATTTCCCACTGCGCGGCACTTCAAACATTTTTTTTCCAGGAACATGTCGCGATAAAGATCCCTTAATTTTGAATATTTTTCCTATATAACATTTTTTTGTGTTCCCATTATTTAAAAAGTTGTTGTCGATTCCCAAATCGTACTTTGTTAATAAGACACCATCATAAAACTATATAAACCTATTAAATGACACTAATTTAAAAGCTTTGCTGTAATTAATTATTCTCCAATGCAACTAAACAGTGAAAAACAATTGCCAAATTTTTATCTGTTGTGATAGTTTTTGGCACACATTTCTAATAAATGCAGTAAATTCTATTCGTTAAACTTTATTATTTTTTTAATAAATGCAAGCAGGCTAGGCAAAAAACAGTATTTGTTTTCATATATGACATATTCTCAATGAGAAGTGTCAGAATTTTGATGGTTTTAATAATCATTATAGAGTTTATAGAATTAATTTGTTGCGATTGTTTATTAGTAATAGTTACTGAAAAGTAGCAGTAATAAAATGTTTTCCCATGGCGAAAAAGTGGATATGCTGAAAATTTTCGGAGAAGCCCAAAAAAATCAGAATAAGAAATCATTTTTAGTTAACAGGGTGAGACAATAAACAGTAACCGCTGATGAAAACGTGGCAATTATAATAAACTATTTGGAAAATCATCCTAAAGCATCGATTAGAAAGGCTTCGAGAGAGTTAAATTTGACATATAATGCAATTCAAAGAGTTTTAGTTTAGTGTGCAACAGTTAAATCCTGGAGCTATTAAAACATTAAATATTTTGCTTATTTATTTTTATGTTTATTAAGTTGATATTCTTTATATTGTTGTGGTCTCCCTTATATGATAGGTGGGTTTGTAATTCTTACAAATTAATGTAATTGTTGTATACACGGTTGTGTTATTAAATTGTTTATAGTGAATAAGTTTTTTATTGTAAATAGAACAATAGTTATTGATATACTAAACCAGCAAGAGCATTGAAAACTATATCGCTGACTACGTCGTTGCAATAGTAATTACGAGATGGAGAAATTCACTAGAGAATTGCCCGTAAAATTTTAAATAATGGGAACATACAAAAATGTTATATAGGAAAAATATTCAAAATTAAGGGATCTTTATCGTGATATATTAAAAAATGTATGTTGCTGGAAAAAAACTTTTGAAGCGCCGCGACGTCTAGCGTCGTAAAGATAATTTCTGTATTTTGCCCTAACTTATTCTAGTAAAAGTAAGCAAAAATGAAATAGTTTCTAAAATAATTTATTTTTCTCGGCCGTTTCCCAGAAAATCTAATTTCTTCGGTTTATTTATTTATTTAAATAAATAAATAATGAAGATGAAACTTATATGTCGACCCTCAAGCTAACGCGTATGCCGTATTTCCCTTTCAGAGCACTGCTGTCGATCGGCTACTTCTTCCTGACGATCTGGGGTGGCGTGGAGGTGTGCGCCCCCGACATCCTGCTGTGGAACCTGGTGATAGTCCTGCTGAACGTCACCCACACGGCTCTGCTGACGTGGAAGTTTCTACCGCCGACGCTCACTTTAGAGCTGACGGATTTGTACCTTAAGGTAATAGGCATGTTTTGCCAAATTTTAATGGTAGATTCTGCGTCATAAATTGACGAAATAAAAATGTGTTTGGAAACGTTTCGCTTTCAAGCTAAGGAACAAATGTTCGGCCGCGACCGCTGTCGCTGGGCGCAGGAGTGGTCCGACCGGAGCGATTTTTATGTCGTGTAGGCTGGACCTTTCTGCGAGGAACGAAAGTGATTCAAGTATTTCACGATTACTGAGAAAATTTTTGGCTATTTTTATAAGATGTTACATCCTATATGCAAGTCTATGTCATAACATCTGCAAGTTATTTTTTATGTCCACAGCTGTGCTTTCATCGTTCTTTAAGTTTTTTATTCTTCACCGTTCAACGACTTCTTAATAAACACAAGAATTACTTAATGCGTTCTTCGAACTTCTACAACTTGCAGTTTAACAATCAATTGTATCAAACTATTTATTAAAGCTCACCCTACAAGTGCATGCAGCGCACGAGATAATTAACGTGCCTGGATATGAGTTAGAGTCGATAAAATTAGTTTCTGGAAAGAGAATAAGTTTGATATCGATTAGAGAGTCGCATCGCATCGAATGTGTAAGCAGAGAAGTGTTTACCCGGCTGGCAACAAAAGGACATAAACTGAGTCGGCTGCTATTTACTTTGCATTTACTATCTGGAAAAAGATACGTGTCGTCAGGGAAAATATGGGTTCGCTTTTATTTATATGGATATCGTAAATTCCGAAGAATAAAACGGGAGTACCTAATAAAATTAAAAAACCTTTAGTTTGCAAATGTCTGTGCTTTTCTTAATATTTATTTTATTTCGTAGCGGGAGATCAGGCCAACGAAGAACGTACTTGTGCAAATATTTAATTTCAGACTGTTCACAATCTTATCGAATATTTTATATTGAACAAACGAAATAATAAAGTCTTCATAGGGCACTTTTAATTAGTTTCAACTCTTCAATTTTTCTTTAATACGTTACATATGTTCAAGCATATCTTATATTGATTCACACTAGGCTAATTAAAAAAAATCGTCTATTTTTTTTTTTCAAAATCCCCTTTGAAATAGATTCAGGAAAGTGAGAAGAGATGCCTGTAAAAATCGGAACTCATAATATTAATATTTAGAGGTCACGCATCGCAATTTTCTATTTTCCATTCAAATAACGCGAGAAGAATGATTTTAAAAAATTGTTACCTAGACTTTTATAAGTGGAAATGGTAAAAGGGCTTATAATAAACCTAAAAAAATAAATGCGTGAGCAGGGGCGGCGGAGGGTTGATTTGGGGAGTTGAAAAGTTATGAAATATCATTGGGATTTCTGGCGAAAGTTGACATCAAACAAAAAAGTATCCAATACAAAAGTTGTAGATCATGCAAAAATCTACAACTTTTATGGAGGTCACTTTTTAAAATAACCTCAAAATTTTCGCAAAAAATGCGAAAAACAGGTTTTTTTCTGATTTTTCATTTTTTATTTCTCATTTCCGCAAAAATAATTTAATTTTGACGAAACTTTCTGTCTTAAATAACCACAAATTTTTTTAGATAAAATAATCAAGAAGTTGCCAAGATATTAATTTTTTCCGGTCTGAAACACTTTTTTTTTCAGAGGAAAATTCTACTTAGAAAAATCATCATACAGAGTTGTCATTTTTTTCGTTTTGACATACTTTTTGGTGAAATAAAAAAATCTGTAAGCACAGTTCAGAAACATGCTCAAAAATGCAAAAAAATGGAAAATAACTTGCAACAATGAATTTTTCAGTCATTGTTGATAATTTGTTTAAATTTTTAAAAAATTCAAAAACTAATTACACCATTCAATTGTACGGAAAAAATACAAAAAAAAACTCATTGTTTGACCCAAAATTTTATTTTTGTACAGTACTGCTATAAACAAGTCGAATAGTGAATANCTCAAATGATAAATTATCTCTGGACTATTTGAGATTTCCGCAATACAAAGTATTAACTGCAAAGTCTACTGTTGACGCGAAATCCGAAAACTCGAAATTTTGTAAAATCGTTTTATTTTTTTTCTGGCTTTATTTGAAAATGAATTTTAAATAAATTGCATATTTACCTACATTGCCACTTTTTTCGCTCTATCCAATGGCATCAACATTTTTGCAATCCGACGTTTCGTCTTCGAGGGGCCATCATCAGATTACTTTTTTAAATATATCGCTGCTATTTTTATGACAAAATCTAGTCATTTTTAATTCTGTACTAGATGATATTAGGTACTATTGTAAAAAAGGTTTTTAGCTATCATTAAAAATTTTTCCTGAGTACGGCTCTGAACGCTTTCAAAATACCTGCATCTATTGGAGGAGAGAGAGAGGAGAGAATAAAAGTCAACACAGCACAAAATATCCAACAATTTGTTTTAATCCATAATTTAAAAAGTTGTACCTAATAAAAAAATAATTCGAATTTATGAAATATTTTATTATTTCTAATTAGTATTGCTAATAGTAGTAAAAAATTGTTGGATATTTTATTCGGTATTTACTTTTATACTGTTATGACTTCATCCAATAGATATTTTCAAATCGTTCAAGTAAAAATTTTAAATTATAGCTAAAACAAGCTAAAAACTTTTACAGTAGTAATATCCTCTAATTCAGAATTAAAAGTGACTTTAGATTTTGTCATAAAAATAGCAGCGAAGTATTTAAAAAAATTTACCCCATGATGGCCCCTCGAAGACGAAACGTCGGATTGCAAAAATGTTGACGCCATTGTATAGAGCGAAAAAAGTGGCATTGTAAATATGTAATTTATTTTAAAATTCGTTTTCAAATAAAGCCAGAAAAAATTAAACAATTTTGCTAAATTTCGGGTTTTTCCGGATATCTCCGGAACTACCCGGAATTTTAAAACTTTCTAAACAGCACATTATTAGGTAAAAAAAATACAACTTTTTTCTAATTTGAGCCACCCCGTATCTCTTACCGGTTCCTAGATCCTAATGCCTATCCCATCCTTATCTTGGACATACTGTATATCAATGAATTCATCAAACTTTAAAAAAATAAGTACACTAATCGATCCTACGGAAAAAAAAAATATTATTTATTTTTTTATTTACTATTCGACTTATGTTTATAGCAATACTGTACAAAAATAGTTTTGGGTCAAACAATGAGACAGTTTTTTTTGTATTTTTTCCGTACAATGGAATGGTGTAATCATTTTTGATTTTTTTTAAATTTAAACAAATTATCAATAATTACTGAAAAATTCATTGCTGCAAGTCATTTTTTATTTTTTTGCATTTTTGAGCATGTTTTTGAACTGTGATTACAAATTTTTTTATTTCACCAAAAAGTATATGTCAAAACGAAAAAAATGATTACCGGCAGAACTCTGTACGATGATTTTTTAAGTAGAATTTTTCTTTGAAAAAAGTGTTTCAGGCCGAAAAAAATTAATATCCCAGAAACTTCTTGATTTTTTTATTTAAAATTTGAGGTTATTTAAGACAGAGGAAGTTATACTTTCACCAAGTTTCGTCAAAATTAAATTATTTTTGAGAAAATGAGAAATAAAAAACGAAATATCAGGAAAAAACCTGTTTTTCGCATTTTTCTCAGAAATTTTAAGGTTATGTGAAAAAAAGGGACCTCTACAAAAGTTGTAAATTTTTGCATGATCTACAACTTTTGTATTGGATACTTTTTTGTTTGACGACAACTTTTGCCAGAAATCCCAATGATACAATTTTTCATAACTTTTCCACCCCCAAATCAACCCTCCGCCGCCCCTGCTCACGCATTTATTTTTTTTCGTTTATTATAAGCCCCTTTACCAATTCCACTTATAAAAGTCCAGGTAACAATTTTTTTTCCACTTTAAATGAGTTATTTTGATCGGTCTATTATCATTTTTTGATAAAACAACTCGTACAAAAGTTATTCAAATTCAAAGTTAAATTTATGTTATAATTACACTTTTTTCTACAGTTTCGGGTAAAATGATTAAAGTTATCATGAAATATTATAAAAAAAAGGCATCTTAGTGGAAAATTTTAAACTATCACAACCAAAAAGTCATTTATCATTAGTAAAGAAATAATTTAAGATTTCAAATACTATTTAATACAATAAAAAGGATTTTAATTGATTCTTCCCAGAAATGGTAGGTTTTTCAGTCATATTAATTTGAAAGACTTGACAAATTTATCAATTTTGACTTTTAAATACCTTTTTTATAATATTTCATGATAACTTTAATCATTTTACCTGAAACTGTAGAAAAAAGTATAATTATAACACAATTTGAATTTGAATAACTTTTGTACGAGTATGTTTATCAAAAAATGATAAGGGACATTTTTTGTAGAACGTTCAATTCCCTATAAGAATAAGTTTCTGTCATTTAAATTCGTCTATTGATTTTTAAGATATAAAATTATGAAATTGAAAAATAATTTTTCCCATGTTATTTGAATGGAAAATAGAAATTTTTACAGGCATCTTTTCTCACCTCCCTGAATCTATTTCAGAGGGGATTTTGAAAAAAAAAAATTGTCGATTTTTTTTAATCACCCTAATTCACACATAATGTAGATGTCGGAAGCACCCGTAATTTAGATGAGTAGAATACACGCAGATGACATTGAGCAAGGAAGTACGTCCTCATTGATAGAACGATGAGATAAGAAAAACCACTATTTACTAAGTGGAATGAACATTTACTTTTGTATTCAATGACCGGAGTAATAAAAGTTCAGTCGCGATCGCTGAACGCAGGGTTGGTCCGACCGGAGTGATACGTTGGACTTTTCTGCACCGAACAGTAGTGGTTCGGGTATTCCGCAATTACCGAGTTGGTCATGGGGACGGAAATGTTGAACATTTTGGCTGTTTAAGTGCTCTAGAAGTGAACTCGACGTGAAAACTAAGTATTCCAAGGCACCTAGAGTAGCGAGTGAATTTGTGTTAGGGGTAGCAAAATCAATATAAGATTTTCGAAGGCAAAAAAGGGAAAATCTAACCAAATGTATCTATGTTTACATTAGATATCGTAAAATGGCTTTAATATTCTACAGGCACTTTTTTTTAAATATTATGCCTGTCTAAATACTTAAATAAATTCATTTATACCATGGTACCACATTTCCAATGTGTCAGAAATTTGCTTAGAGGCAAATTCTGTATTTTTCTATTTGAATCAAGAGAAGACCGCATACGGTAGATTGGCTGTTTCTAGACACTGTACATGTCATTTTTCCAGACANCGATTTAAGTACTGACGCCTTAAACCGTGCGGCTTTCGACCGTTTTTAATTAATTTAATTAATTTAATTGAGATTCTAGGGGTAAGTGGTAAAAATATAGGTATACATGGTGGTATTTTTTATCATTTTATCGTTAACAAGAGTTATTAATTATTGGTAAAATTGACATATCTAACCATATGTATCTATTTTTACGTTAGATATCGTAAAATTGCTTTAATATTCTACAGGCACTTTTTTAAATGCTGTGCCTGTCTAAATACTTAAATAAATTCATTTATACCGTGGTACCACATTTCTCATGTGGCAGAAATTTGCTTTGAGGCAAATTCTGTATTTTTCTATTTGAATCAAGAGAAGACCGCATATGGTAGATTGGCTGTCTCTAGACACTGTACATGTGCTTTTCCAGGGAACCACTTTTTGGTAATTCATAAAACCAATGTGTTTCAGATGTTCAAACCCCTTCGGGTCAGCAAGAAGCACTTCAAGGAGTTGGTGAAGGAAGCCAAAGTCATGAACTTAGAACAGGGCGACATCTACGCCGTAGAAGATGTCAGCCCAGCTGACGAAAGGCTGTCAATATTGCTCAAAGGAAGGTAAGCCAATCCTTTCCAGTTTTCTTCTCAAATCCAAAAACTAACCAATTCGCGTTGTCTTCGTGGTTATCCTGCCCAAACCGGTATAACCAGTTCAACTCGATTCTTTCAGATTGCGCGTAACCTGTGACGACACGCATCTGCACTTCATCGGCACCCACCAGTTCGTGGATTCGCCCGAGTGGGAGGCCAACCACGAGCAATCGGACGACGTGTTCCAAGTGACAATCACCGCCGAAGAGGACAGCGTGTACCTCTGCTGGCCCAGGATGAAGCTGGAGAGGGTGCTTAGGCACAGGCCTATGCTCAAGGTCGTGCTGGACTCTATTATAGGTACTATATTTCGCATTTATTTTCCGACAGAAGCCGAGCGCTTGTCATATTTCCTATTATTCAGGTAAAGACATAACGCAGAAGCTGTACGCCCTCAACGAACATCTCAGCGGGTTGAGCGACGAGAGGGAACGGGGCAAAAGGAACCGGATATGGGCGAAGACCCACAACCGTAGCATGTCCATGGACGCAGTCAACACGGGCACCACCGGATTGGTTAGGTCCCAGGCGTATAAATCTACGCACAGGAATAATTCCAGTCGAGCAGATCGTAAGTAGGAAAAGTTTTTCGTCACATTGTTTAATTTTCTGTTAATATCTAGGAAGGTGGTGGCAAACACCTCATTGAGGAAATGTAACTGACAAACTTACCTCGCCCCTTACCAATGTTAGGTGACTCCGTGATATACGTCAGTATCATGGTTTGCCTACGTGCACGTAGTGACGTCATCTGAGAGAACGACCTGAAATCGCGGCATATATTGACATGAAATCTTTTTGTCAATTTTTTTTATAATCCAGAGCTGTTGTGGCCTATACAAATTTACATTATTCATTTTATTATGCAAAACAAACATCAAACTTGACAACACAGCTCAAATGAAAGAATATTAGTCAAACTAAGAGAGCTGACAGGGGTGGGATTGCCAAAAAAATAATGAGCCTCGCGAACCTTTCGAAATGAAAGCAAAATATTTGAATTTTTTCTGCTGAATTTCTTCTGATTTCTTAAACGATCAAAATTTTTCATTTCAAATCCTGAAACTAGAAACTAGAACCTAGAACATTTGCTTCTTTTATTGCTCTACACAAATTACAGCCTATTTAAAATTGCCTAAAAATGTAGGATTTTTTTTATCCTTTAATTTTTGTGACATCTATATATCTACTTTTTGTATGAAAACAAAAGTCTGCAGTTCTCTCCTGACATCATGCACAACTAGGACGAAATTGAGCCGGTTGACAAACACCTCGTACTATATTCACGCTCGGATAAAATACAGAAAAATATGACTCAAGTTATGTTTAATTTTTTAAATAAAAATCAAAAAGGACGCACTAGTACAGTCATTGAAGGTAAAATACGGCGTTGCAGTATAATTTTCCCAAACGGCACCGATTTGCACCAAAATTTGGATTTAGTTACCCTCTACTTCAAAGTTGACCCTGTGCCGGGGGTTGCTTTTTATTTTTTAGGGGTAAAAACTACCCCTTTTCGAAAATAATTATAGAATTGTAGATTCTAGTGTGTAATAGGTTGAAATCATCTTTAAATAAGTAATTATGATGAATTGAAAATTATCAATCCCTAAAAACCATCCCCTATGACAGTAATCATTAAAATATAATATTGAAAAATATTATTCAGCAACTTGGAATAATTTAATCATATAGTGATATTAAAGTAAGATTTCTTTACTGTTTTAATTTTTTATTATTTATTTATAAGTTTCAACCCTTATAAAAACCACCCCTTGCAAAAAAATCGAACAATTATAGTTAAAAAAATTTTTTTAGCTCAAAATATAATACAATCTTTTTATTATTTAAAATGTAATGTATGTATTTATTTTCAAACCTTAAGAAAAAACCCTACTGATTAAAATTTGCAATCAAAAATAGGGAAAATAAGAATTTTATTTTTATATAGAATTTAATTTTTTTATTTTTATAACAAATATTTTTTTATTGCAAATAACATATAAACAATCAAAAATCTTCTTCACTCTTGTCTTCCTTTTCTATTCTATTCCTAAAATATAGCTACAGTGTGAATTCATCAATGCTTCAATATACGTGTTCTGATATCCGGCAAAAATATGTGATTGGTTTGGTTTTTTTACCCATAACTCGCTTAGTTTTTATGCTATCAAGCCCTTCAAAAAACCATTTGGTAGGTTTTTTCAAGGGCTATAAGATCAAATAAGTTAAAATTTCGTTCAGCTCTTATTTTTGTAGGGGTTTAAGCTGAAAGGGCTTGAATAAGTTGTTATTTATGAACATATGCTAACCTTAAACATCCATATCTTACCTAATTTTTATCCTATAGAAAAATAAAACAAAATTTTCAAGAAAGCAAAATCTACAAATTTGTACTCTACACAATTTTGAATATTATTAATAGTTTTTGAGTTATTTTGAAGAAAAGACAATCTTTTCCAAAAATACAAAAATTCTCTTTTCACTTCAAGCTCAACTTTTTTCAAAACTTAGCACTTTAAACCGGTCACACTTCTAGAGTATATTACGAGTACATAAATAAAGTAAATTGTAAAGTGGTAACGATTATTTTCAATTGGGGTGGTAATTAGGGGGTGATTTACACGTTTTTTGTCGCCGAAAAAATTACGGACCTACTTTATTTTCGTCATAACTCGCTTATGTTTGATGCTAGGGACTTTTATAAAAAATAAAAATAAATGTTTTTTTAAGCACTTTAAAAAAGGTTCTATGAGTATTCCCTGAAAAATGTATTGGTTTTTGGATATTTCATGTTCAAACTTTCAATTTTGCCGTTTGACGAATAAGAAACAACCTTCAACAAGCTATTACTCCGCTTGTACTGGGTCTACAGACACCATAAATACACCATTCTTTTTGTTTTTTTATAAGCTACGTTTTTTATGTGAATGATTTTTTTGATAAAATACTTACTTTTTGAGTTATTCGCGAAAAACCGTCTGAAAAAGTGTTTTTTTTTGTTGGTTAAAAAATGTACGCTTTCACTCGCGAATAAGTCGAAAAGTATTGACTTTCAGAAAAAACTAGAACCTAAATCCAAATTTTTATGAAAATCGGTGCTGTTTGGCAAAATTATACGGGAAAATGGCCATTGACTGGACTACACAGGCACTAGAACTAAGCACAATCAGCTAGATCACAACGGTGTCATGATCTGTGGTTCTAGGCTACTGTTATATAAATTGGATTTACTACCAGTATTAATTTTCTTAAATATCCCGAAAAAATTAACAATCTGGCAATACTGCACCATTCTGGGCTGTGACGTCAGTAAATATACTTTATTTGTCACCTTCCAAACGCAAATCTTCCCCAATTCCTGACGTAACGTTAATTGTCTGATCGTCCCTTTGCTCCAAATTCCGAAGTAGGTTCCCTGGGCAAGCTGGAGACCCAGTGCTGGGTCCCCCTGGTGGCCAAGCAGTTCCCCGCCAAGTCGCCCTTCAACCCCCAGAACTCGTCGGCCAGCCTGCGCGTCCCCGACGTCCACACCACCCCGCAGAGGAGCCGGTCCCTGCGCAAGGCCAACCGCGAGGTGAAGTTTGAGACAACGCAGCAGAAATAGATGTCTTTTGTTACTCACTGTATATAGTCGTTGTTGGTAGCTTTAAGTGTGCTACGCAGAATGGTAGTTTTTAGGCATTACTTTTCACGATGTAGAGTCGCGTCGACGACGTTTCATCACTTTTTTATTACGTCTTCAGGATGTAACATGGAATAAGTTTCGAGTTACCGTGAAAATATTGCGACTGGTTTTGATATTTTTACTTAATGGTGTCACAACGCATATTTTAATTTATTTTGTACTTAAATGAGGTCAAAATGAAAAAAGGAAAAATACAGGGTGTTTCGCATAAGAACCGACAGAGCAGGGGCATGTAGGGGGACCCAAAATATCTCTGAGAAATTATAGGCCTAGAAAGTGGGTTTTCAAATTTCGAAAAAAACATCAATATCTCAGTTACACTGGAACTTAGAAAAAACAAATTTGGTACACACACCCTGTACGTATTTCGTATTTTCCTACATATTTTCAATTTGTGGGGTATTTAAACAGTGGGAAAACGCCACATTGTATAAAACTTGTTTATATACTAGTCTGCAATAAATTAAATACCAAAATTTATCCCAACTGCTAAATGAAGAGTTGAAAAATACCATTCTGTTGTATCCTATTTAGTCCAAGAAATATAAAGTTGGACGCGACTTTTTGTTCCTGCAAGCTGAATTTATCACTATAAATGCTAAATATTATGTACAATAACATATTAGTTTCCACAGTCATAAAAATGGGGGGAAGATTGTTTACAGNTGTATTTATTTTCAAACCTTAAGAAAAAACCCTACTGATTAAAATTTGCAATCAAAAATAGGGAAAATAAGAATTTTATTTTTATATAGAATTTAATTTTTTTATTTTTATAACAAATATTTTTTTATTGCAAATAACATATAAACAATCAAAAATCTTCTTCACTCTTGTCTTCCTTTTCTATTCTATTCCTAAAATATAGCTACAGTGTGAATTCATCAATGCTTCAATATACGTGTTCTGATATCCGGCAAAAATATGTGATTGGTTTGGTTTTTTTACCCATAACTCGCTTAGTTTTTATGCTATCAAGCCCTTCAAAAAACCATTTGGTAGGTTTTTTCAAGGGCTATAAGATCAAATAAGTTAAAATTTCGTTCAGCTCTTATTTTTGTAGGGGTTTAAGCTGAAAGGGCTTGAATAAGTTGCTATTTATGAACATATGCTAACCTTAAACATCCATATCTTACCTAATTCTTATCCTATAGAAAAAAAAAAAAAATTTTCAAGAAAGCAAAATCTACAAATTTGTACTCTACACAATTTTGAATATCATTAATAGTTTTTGAGTTATTTTGAAGAAAAGACAATCTTTTCCAAAAATACAAAAATTCTCTTTTCACTTCAAGCTCAACTTTTTTCAA